GGGTGGCGTCATTAACTGAGATGGCCCTGAAAAGCGTATTGTAAATTTAGCATGTTTGTGTGCATATTTACCGCAGCGGTTATTTACACAAAAATGTTGACTCCCTTTCTTTTTTCTTTTCACTGGCGGATCCAGGGGGGGGGGGGCACGGGGCCATGGCCCCCCCAAAGGCCTAAAGTGGCCTGTTTAGCCCCCCCCCCAAAACGCCAGAAAAATTGCTAAGAAAATATACCTTGATGGAGGTTTTTAGCCACTTGGTGAAGTAAAGCTTTCCACAGCATAATATGGAAGCAATATAGTAGCAGTGAGGGTCAGTCAAAAGTTGCGCGAGCGGAGTCGACCTTAAAAAAAAGACTGTTGTTGGCACGTGTTTATGGCGCGGCAGCTGGTAGTTGGCGGTGTTTCGCGTGGTGTGGCATCACTGGCGGATCTGGGGGGGAGGGGGGGGCACGGGAGCCTGAGGTGCCCCTGACAGGCCCGTGGTGCCCTTGCTAGGCCTGTGGTGCCCCTGGACCCTGGCAGGCCTGTGGTACAGTCCACAGCAGAAGTAATGTGGGGTTTCAGTCATGGGTATGTTCTGCTTCTGAAGCTTAGGAACGATTAGCCAGACTACAATGAAACTTTGAATGTAGCTTATATGTATCGTCACCCTTGCAGCTGCAACTTTAGCTATTGACATCTTCTTTTCAATCACTTCGCATTAAACAATCGCCAGTCAAAGCCAACCGTTGAGTTTGGTAAAACCCTACATTACTTTAGCGGTGGGCTGTACCTCTGGCGGGCCTAGGGTGCCCCTGCTAGGCTGCTGATGCCCCTGGGACCTGACAGGACTGTGGTGCCCCTGACAAGCCTAAAGTGCCCCCAACAGGCCCGTGATGCCCCCGACAGGCCCAAGGTGCCCCTGCGTGATGCCGTGATGCCTGCGAGGCCGGTGGTGCCCCCTGCGAGGCCGGTGGGGCCCCTGACAGGCCCATGGTGCCCCTGCTAGACCGGTGGTGCCCCTGGCAGGCCTGTGGTGCCCCTGCTAGGCCGCTGGTGCCCCTGGGCCCTGACAGGACTGTGGTGCCCCTGACAGGCCCAAGGTGCCCCTGCAAGGCCGGTGGTGCCCCTGTAAGGTCTGTGGTACCCCTGCTAGGCCTCTGGTGTCCCTGACAGGCCCATGGTGCCCCTGCGAGGCCGGCGGCGCCCCTGGCAGGTCTCTGGTGTCCCTGACAGACCTGGGGTGCCCCTGACAAGCCTGTGGGGCCCCTCACAGGCCCGTGGTGCCCTTGCTAGGCCTGTGGTGCCCCTGGCGGGCTGGTGGTGCCCCTACTAGGCCGGTGGTGCCCCTGACAGGCCTGTGGTGCCCCCGGGCACCAAGGGGGTCATGACCCATGTGGCCCCCCTTGGATCTGCCACTGATGCATAATATATTAATTTGTAAAGGCGTTATGGCTTATGCAATATGCAATTGCAGGCACTTGGTATCCCTCACTTATCCCTCATTGGGGCTCTGGCGGGCTCCTGAGGGCCCACGTCTATCTCCGGGAGCCCATATAGACAGGCTCCTTTGGGTCCTTTCAGTACACTATAGCATAAGAGGTCTCCATGCGAGTCCTATACATACATCTGAGGGCGTACCCTGATGTCTGAGGTACCCAACTGCAGCTCCAATGGTCTCTTCTTACACTGGCAGATCCAGGGAGGGGGCATTTAGGGCCATGACCCCTTCCCAGAGGCCTAAAGTGGCCCGTTTTCCCCCTCCCCCAAACGATAATGAAACATAGTTCAATCAGGGCGTGGCCCAGGAGCCGAGTTAGACAGGGCTGTTTTACCACCTCCCGGCCCGCAAAGGGACCCAAGCACTGACTCGAAGCGGGTTAAAGAGACCCTCCCACCTTCAAAAAAGTTAATGAATTGGCATGAAAGTGATGTCGCTAGGTTCAGAAAGGGCGAAAACGAATATCTACCAAATTTTATCGAAAAATATTCACCGGTTTTCAAGAGATTAGACTTTTATTTTTGTTTACTTTTTGGGATATCCGCTGCTGTTCCTAGCGACTTTATTTGAAAGTGCGGCATTTGTTGCGCGCAAAGCAGCCTATACCACCGCATGCTACCAAACGTTTTAGTAAAATATTAAAAAATCATTAGATCTCCGCTGACGTCACACATTCAGAGGGGTATCCACAAGCATTAACCCCTCTGAATCAAAATGCTGCAATTTTGAAATTCAATATTTCCGATTTAAGGCATTTCTCGATGTTGTGAGTGCGTGCCGAAACCGGTAATTGTGAGCCAGGGACCCCATTTTGGCTATCTCAGCTCAAATCTAATGTTAAGGTGGGAGGGTCCCTTTAACTGGTCGATAAAAACAATGGTAAGTGTTTACAAAGTAATATAAAGGCATGGGTCGGGTGGGCTACCATTTATATATTTTTCTTTTTAGTTAAAAAAAATTCATAGTGTCAGGGCTGTGACGAAAAATAAGTGGCCTAAATCCGATGAGAAAACAGGATTTGGGGGTACCCTAGGTTTGGCTCCTGCATGAGTTGCCCCCCCCCCCAAAACGCAAGCCTGGATCCGCCAGTGTTTCTTTTACACTGAGACCGAGGTCAATTTCGAGTGTTTATTTCGTCTTTTGAACCACATAATCCTAACAATTCGCATAGCCAAGGTTCCATATTGTCATGAGGTGTTCAATAACAGTCATGGGTGTCGATTTGTATACCTTTGGGGGTGCTGCAGCACCCCCAATGCTCAAATGAGCACCCCCAATGGTTTTCCGGGCACCCCCAAATGTTCCAGTTTAGCATTCCCAATGATTTGGTCCCTCAAAAACTCCCACTAACTCTGCTTGAGGAAAATAATTGGTTCCGCAGTCTTTCACTACTAAAAATAAAACAATTACGCAATTTACAATGCATGAAGTAAAGATGTAAAGAAAGTAAAAGTTAGTCTTAAGAAGAAGGGCGTAAAAAGACGTTAAGTTGCAAAGACACTGGTGTGGGTCCGTCGTAGACGGGTGTCGGACCCTTAGAGCTGATGGCGTGTACCCTTTACAAGCCGGCAGGGGGCTCCAGAGACCGGCGACGGGCCCTCAGAGGCCGGCAAAGTGCCATCAGAGGCCGGTGGTACCTTCAGAAACCCTGTGGGGTCGTCTCTAGAGACCGGCACGGGCTCAGATGCCGATGGGGCCCTCAGAGTCGCCGGTGTGGGACCTTCAAATGTCACCGGTGGGTGGCCATCACATGTGCACTTGTGGGGCCTTCAGAAGCGACGATGTTGGGCCCTCAAAGCCGCCGATATAGGGCCTTAAGAGGCACTAGTGTGGGGCCCTCAGATATGGCAATGTATGGCCCTCACAGGCGCCGTTGTGGGGGCTCTCAGAGACACTGGTTTAGGGCCATCACAGGCGCGCGTGTGGCCCTCAGAACTGCTGTTACGGAACGGACCCTTCATAGGCCGACAAGAAGATATCAAGAGGTCACCGGTGCCATCAGGAGCCTTGTGGGGTTCTCAGAGACCGGCATGGCGCTCTCAGACGCCGCTGGGACCCTCCGAGTCACCTGTGTGGGACCGTCAGGGTCGCTGATAACTGACAAGGGCCCGCAGAACCGCCCATGTGGGGTTTTTAAATGCATTGGTGTGGGGCCTCAGAGTTAGGGGTGTGGGGCCCTCAGAGACGCCGGTGTGGCGCTCAGAGGCGCCGGTGAGGGCCCTCACAGTCGCCGTTATAGGGGCCCTCAGAGAAATAGGTGTGGGGCTATTACAGGCGGGTGTGGAGCTCCCAGAGAGCTCCCAGAGCCCCCTTACCCAGCCAGCAATTTGGTTCGGCGCAAGTCCGTTTTGCCCCGGCAACTCCGACATGCCAGACTCGGGCCGGTATAAAAGGAACGCCGTCAGAGCCGGGGTTTGGGTCGATACGGCTCTATTCCGGTTAGCCAGTCTTGGCCGTAGCGCTCCCGGGTTGGTATGGTTCCGGACCGCCAAGTCTGGCTCAAGTCCGGCTCCCTGCCACGGCCAGTCCGGCTGCCTCATAGCTGCTCTGGCTTACTGTGGCTGAAGTACGGTGGAGGTACGGCACGGCTGATGCGGCATAAGTCCGGCTGTGGTGCGGGCGAGCTCCGGGATCGTGTCAGCTCCAGTAGAGCCCCAGACCTTGCCAGATATACACTTGCCAGTACTTTAGCCGGAGCAAATGCCTGAGCTATCCAGAGTAAAACCAGCTACGGCCAAGGCCAAATTTGCTGACTGGGAATAGGCCGGTTAGGACCCCCAGAGTCCGGCAAGTGGCCCTCCGAGGCCGGTAAGGGGCCCTCAGAGGCTGGCTTGGGCCTTTATGGAGATCTTATTGTTGATACTTGTGGGCCCATGAGGTGTTTTTTACGAGCCCTATGGGGCCCTTCTGAGTCCAAATATAGTCAACATGGACCCTTATCGGCCAATTGGCGCCGCAGGGCCCCTCAGGCCCGAATAACCCGAAGGGACCCTGAACCTGATGGGGGGGGGGGCACGTGCCTCACGGGCCCACCTGGCTACGCCACTGAGGAAAATCGTAAACCTGTAAATATCCAAATGCGATCACCTTTCATTTTTTCAGCGATTATTGTGATCGTCTAATTACTGCCAGAGCTTCGTAGCTACCATTGTCTCCGCGCAATGTCCGCCCCTGCGGACCGCAGCGACTGCTGCACCGGTGCTAATCGCCGTCATCGGTTTCTGTCACCTTTTCAGAGGTGCCGGGGCTGCTGCCATACTGCCGGCAAATATACGACTTTTTCGGAAAGATGTTTATGTAATAAGGTAGCCAAGTAGGTACTAGGGCGAGCGGAATGATTTTCAAGAAGAACGTTCTGCCCTTGGGAAATATTAGTGGAAATCTCGGCATTTTCAGTATTCAGTACCTTATGGGGATAACCAACCCTATACGGTTGTGCCCCATGGCAAAGCTGCAATCTTTCACCCGGTGCAGGGGTTGAGCACCCCCAACCATTTTGAAAAATCGACACCCCTGATAACAGTCATCACATCCACGCAGATAAACACAGTCATATGAATACATAGAATGCCTCCATAACTCCTAACTTCGTCTCCACATGCCCATATGCTGACCTGAGAGAAAACGGTATCATGCTACTTATCAGTGATACTCCTATATAGATGTCAGCGTACCTAGTTAATAGAAGCCCAGTACTTAGTTGGCGGGAAACAACTGCAGACACCACGAAAACACGTTCCCTTTCAACGAAAAACTACATGTTGAGCCAAAACGTCTGAAGGACGCGCACATTTAGAGGCAGCGCATTATTTATTATAGGTAATCTCTTGATACCTAAACCATAGACATCATCCCTGAGCAAATAACCCTCAGCTTAGTAGCGGGCAGCACCGAAAATGGCCAAAATTACTTTCTTTACTCTAAATACGAACTAAGCGGAGATGACGGTGGCGCCATCAGCCGGACGACAAACGTAAAAGGTGGCGCTGCCGGCGTACTCGCTCTTGAGTTTTTGAATGCACAGCTCCACGGCACCCTTTTTCACCTGAAAACAAGACATGATGTTATTAGCAAGTCAAAGTACCTTTCTTATATGAGTGATAATGAAGATAACAACAGTTTACCATTTTTTTCAAATTTAATATGAAAAGAAAGCGAAAAATTGACTGCATAGTCTTGTCGTCTTTTAGGTAATGCACATTGACTGCAACGTCCGATTGACTGATTGCTGGGGACAGGGGACTTGAGATACTGTTACTTGAGATGAATGCAAAGAAGGAATTAATTGTGCCCTACATTTAGCAACAGCTAACAGCGAGTCACAAATACGCATACCAGCGTGACGGTGCACCCTCCGAACCCCCCTACGGTCATCCGGGATCCGAACACCCCCTCCACTGCGGCGGCAATCCTCTGCAGATGGTCCAGCTCCGCGCACGACACCTCGTAGTCGTCCCTGAAAAATAAGCTCGTACGTGAAAGATATAAACGGTACCTCGAGGCTGTCCCTGAAATATACGAGGGAGGAACAATACCGAGACAAGGCGAAAGACACCTCGAAATGTGCCGGGTTAAACGGAAGGAATATTACAGAATGAATGTATCGAAAGCATTCCTGAAGCGTTGGCCGTGGGTCTTTATTTTGATATCGTTCCCGCATAGTTACGTGACCGAGAGGACAACCTTAAATTTTCTAATCAATGAAACTAAGTTGTAAATTCAACTTTGATTGATTCGTCAAACGCTCGAAGTCGACTTTCAGTGGAATATTGTCATTTCTGAAAGCACCTTTAATCACAAAAGAATAGTTACCAGCTTCCGGCTTGCGCATAATTATTCACCATGAATGGTGCCGTAGTACCTGAGCGATGCGTGGCTTTCGTTCATCAGTTTTCCCGCTGTGGCGTAGTCGCCCTTTTTGAAGGCCTCAGCAGCCGCCTCTGTCCGGGCGATCTCAGTGATCACGTGACGAGCGCGACGGTAGTCTTCTTCGGAAATGTCACCCTGCCGCTCTGGAAGAGACCGGAAGTGAGGCACCGGAAGCATAAAACACGAGGTGTCGAGCGGTACTCATCCATTTAGGTAATAAAGACTCGTGACGGGACAGCGAGAACAACGTGACGTAAAATAGCCATTTCCCAGTCCATAAGCGATCGATTTTCAAATCAAATAAGCGACCTAGATATGAAGTAGTTAGCTAGGGTATCAAATTAACACTTTGCATGACAAAAGAAGGCAGAAGGCATCAATAGTATCATGAAATAAAAAAGTGCTCAAGAAGGCGCACCTGTTAGGAAATATTGTGCAACATTTATGGATGAATATTGTCATATCATAACCCCGATTATAACCTGACGTTTTGCCAACCTTTCAGGAGTTCCATGGTGGCCTCTCGTAGCGATTTGACCCCGAGTACTTTAGCTGTTTCAAAGCAAGCCCGTCGTCGGCTGGGGTACTCTGAGCCCGTCAGTGTGTGGCGAACATTGGAGTTGGTGATCAGCACTGCCACCTGGTGGTCCGCCAGCGGAACTAGAGTTGACTCCAGAGACCTGTAGGTAGCAAACAGTGATCTTAACCACTTCTTATTGCTAAGTCCTAAGTCCCAAAAACATTCATTACTGGACATGAAATATCCTGCCTTCATCAAAAATGCTGCAAAAACAGTCAATATCAACCATTGAAACATAGGGCAAGCCCTACACGATTGAGTGCATAATTGCAGGTATTATTTCTGGGCGAAACCTGCCCACTGTGCCCAGCCCAGCCCAGAGACGCGACCTGCCATCCTGTTAATTCCCATGGCAGCCCACCTGCAGTCAATAAGCAGCGCGTTGTCCTTTCGTCCCATGGCCGAAATGAACTGGTCCATAATGCCGCAGGGCATTCCGGGAAACTCGTGTTCTGCCTTCTGACACTGCAGCGCCTTTTCGCGTAGGCTGACAAAGGCGGAAAGGCGTCAGACGAGAAAATAAGCGAAGAAGTGAGGGACGTCAAACAATTAGTGCAACGTCATATCTACATGCACAGAACTTAACCCGCGACCGCCTGGGGGGGGGTCGGATCCGACCCCCCCCCTCCGTTTTTCTTGAATAACTCAAGAACCGCTTACGCTATCAACTTGAAACTTGGCATACCTTCTCCCCCATCAATTTGACGTCTTCTGTGTAATTTTTAAGAAAACATTTTCAAACATTTTTGAGATATATCGATTTTAGTGATGTAACTGCATGGCGTTTTTAGTCAAAAAGTGGTAAATGTTTAAAAAATCGCCAAAAATCAGGGTTTAAAACAAATTGCAAATTAAGGACATGAATAGACGCAGCTCAACGAGTTCTTTAAAATGGCTATCTCGGATTTTCCATAAAATGCGTTTTTCACCCCTAAAAATTCAAAAAACTACATTTTTTGGAAAACAGCTAATAAAATCCAAAATTTTGAGAATTTTCAAAAAACCGGAATATATGTTATAGAGCTCTATTAGAACATTAGATGTCCCAAATTTCAACTTTCTATCTTGATTTTTGATCCCCAAATTGTAAAAAAATAGCTCCAACATGCATAGGGCATGGTGACGTCATTAGCATTTTCGTGAATTAGAGGCACTTCTGAACATCGCATGTGAAAACAAATGGCACCACTAGATTCCTGGGACAAAGCTCGTCTAGAAAAGTGCATTTTTATGTCAAAAATAAGAAGTTGAAAAAATGACCCTTTTTCTCAGCCCTCGTTTAGTATAAACGATTTTTTATGCTTTCAATGCACACTTATCACCAGCAAAGTGAATTGGGGTCACATATAACCATTACCATCGGATTCGGCGTGAAAAATAAGCCATAAAACATGTGTTGCACGCCCATGTAGCAGAAAGTGAAAACCGTGACCTTTCGTGACCTGACCTGACCTTGACCCGTACTTAGTATGACCTCTATACTTTCATGGTACCTTCACTAGGCCTTTGAGGTCATTTTTGGTGAGTTTCGAGCAGCAGCTATCGATTCCGCTGTCCGTAAGCCTAATCATGTAAAACCCCAGAATTTGACCTTTGACCTAACCTTGACCCGAAAGTTGACCTCAATCTTAAAATCTTAAGAGTGCTTTGGGAAGGTCTCGTAGAGACCTTTCGAACACCGCCTCGCGGGGCTCGATGCGACCTTTGGTTCTCGAGATAACAGGGGGGGTTCGGATCCGACCCCCCCCAGGCTGTCGTGGGTACGGAAATAGCCCAGGCGGTGCCGGGTTAAAGGGACCCTCCCACCTTCAAAAAAGTTTATGAATTGGCATGAAAGTGATGTCGCTCGGTTCAGAAAGAGCGAAAACGAATATATACCAAATTTCACCGAAAAATATTCACCGGTTTTCAAGATATTAGACTTTTACTTTTGTTTACTTTTTGGGATCTCCGCTGTTCCTAGCGACTTTATTTGGAAGCAATAGTTTGGCAGCTGAAAGTGCGGCACTTGTTGCGCGCAAAGCAGCATATACCACCGCGTGCTACAAAACGTTTTAGTCAAACATTTAAAAATCGTTAGATATCTGCGCTGACGTCACACATTCAGAGGGGTATTCCTATGCATTAGCCCCTCTGAATCAAAATGCTGCAATTTTGAAATTCAATATTTCCGATTTAAGGCATTTCTCGATGTTGTGAGTGCCGAAACCGGTAATTGTGAGCCAGGGACCCCATTTTGGCTATCTCAACTCAAATCTAATGTTAAGGTGGGAGGGTCCCTTTAAGCTAGAGATTAACAATAATTTTGAGCGTGGTACATACATACGCTATGAATATCTCGCTTAGTTCAATGTTGATTGGCATTTAAATTCAATCGCTACCTTTTATTCGCCATTAGAGGAATCGTTTTTCGACGACTAGAAAAGTGGTCGCGAAGTTATAGAATTTAGAACACATTCGAAGGATGAGAGAGACCTCTCTGTTTGTTTGGTTTTGACTGACATAAATATAAATACGGTGAGAACTGAAAACCGTTAGAACAGCCAAATATATCACCTCGACAGCAACGCCTTGCAAAAACAAATTTCAGGTGACAAGTGACATTATACCCCCACTAGACTGGATCAACAATCTGGCACAAACATATACTACACTCCTACAACGACTAGTGATGCAAGTTTTGAACAAATACGCCCCTGCCTGTCTCGTCAGCGCAGTCCATTACACAGATGTGCCGTAGAGTTATCGATCGGTTATCGATTAGATAGTAGCTAGTGGCGCTATTACTGGCGCTAATATGTACTTGTACGCTATTACTAGCTCAAATAGAGTGGATCTGGCTCAAACTGATTAATAGCCAGGCTCCTGATAAGGTCAGAAAAGTAAATCATTCAAAATAATTCATGTGAGTGTCTCTCCACAACAAACCAAGCTAAATCAATTTATTCCCAACCTCCGTCTGCAATAAATTGCATACCTTTCTGCCTTTCGTCCAGTGAGTGCCTCGAGGAAAGTATACATGGCCACCTCTAGAGAGGCAGAACTGGAGAGACCCGCCCCGAGAGGAACGGTCGAGGCCAGCACCGCTTCGAAAGGCACCACGCCGCCTGAGGGAGAAATCAAGGACTGGAATAATTGCCGAAAAAGAATGGGAATAATTTGTACTGCATCACTACAACTGAGGAAAGGTAGAAAGGTGCAAATTAAAGAAGGCGAGATACACGTGAGATAAAAAAACGTAAAAGGTTTAAAAGGCTGGTAGGTATACGTAATCAGGCGAGTAAAAGCCTAGCATGCTGACAAATGACTTTTTCATTTTCTGTGAACTATTCAAGGCAACGTCCATCGTGCCATTGTCTACCTTTGAAGTTGGCCACCACCCCTTTGACGTAGTTGGACCAGGCTGGAGGTCCCGGCCGGAGCGGCGCCTCTTCTGTCGGCAGGTCAAAGGTCAGCGATAGGGGCGCGTCGGCCCCGGCCGCCAGGGTGGTCACGTGACACTGGTCCGAGTCGGAGCAGCCGCCGGCCACCACCGTCACCAGTGGAAGAGCCTGGGGGCAGGGGAGAGGTCAGAGGTTAAACGTCAGAGGTCAGAGTGCAGAGGTCAGGTCACAGAGGTCAGAACTAACAGGTCACAGGGTCAGAGACAGCGGGCAGTGGAGAGAGGTCAGAAGTCAGAGGTCAGAGGTCAGAGAACAGGTCTCGTGCCAGAGGTAAGAGAGCAACGCCTGAGGACAGGGCAGGGATCAACGGGCAGAGGTCAGATCACGGAGGTCAAAGGTAGCGCCTGACGGCAGGGGGCAGGAGATCCTCAGAGGTCAGAGACGACGACTAAGGGCAAGGAAGAGAATCGATGTCAAAAGCGGCGCCTGAGGACAGCTCAAGTGGACATAGACAGCGTCTGAGAGCAGGTCAGAGGTGTAGTGTTCACCGCCGTCTCCGGATTCCCCTCGGAAGTCGTGGCGGTCGACGTGGTCTCGCCGGGCCCAGCGGGGGGAGATGCGGAGGGAGACGCCGGCGCGTATGGGAGACGGGCCAGATGGGCGGCGTTCCAGGTCCGGCCGTCAGCCAGACGGTACGTTGCGGGACCGACGCGCCCAGTGACTCGCACCGGAGACGTGAACCGACAGGACGTCTTCGAGCGGTGTCCCTGCCGTCTCACGCAGACGTAGTCGCCCTCAGTGATGCGCGGCGTCGTCACGCCACGGCGGCGGTCGTAGGACCTCTTGTTGGACTGCTGTCGGCGTCGAACTCGAGACGCCACACTGTCGGCTCCTGGTGTTGACGGCTGAATGACAGGCAGGTTCAGCCTCATCTGTCGTCCATGCAGGAGCTCTGACGGTGACTTCCCAGTTGTCGTGTGTGGGGTGGCTCGATACACCGCCAGGCTCTTGCGTACCTCGTCAATGAACGCTGCTGGTGGACAGTCTGTGATCCACGACTTGAACGTTTTGTTGAAGCGCTCTACGGCGGAGTTGCCTCTAGGCCAGTAGACGGACGATTTGGTGTGCTTCACCCCTCGGGCGGCCAGATACGCAGTGAACTCCCTGCTCGTGAACTGGGGCCCATTGTCCGTCACGATCTCGTCGGGATAGCCCTCTTTGGCCCACACAGTTGACAAGAACTTGATGACGTCTTCAGTCTCAGTCGATGACGTCAGGCAGACTTCCGCCCATTTGCTTCTGTAGTCAATCAGAGTGATGGCGTAACGGGCAGTCGCTGGTGCTCCGTTGATTGGACCAACGATATCCATTCCCAGTTTCGACCAGGCGCGGTCCGGCAGGTCGACTGGCTGCATGGGCGCAGGGCGTGCGCGCTGGGAGAGGACTGCGTCGCTGTGCTGGCAGCGCTCGCAACTTCGGCACAGCTCCTCCACCTCACGGTTGATGCCGGGCCACCACGCCAGATTCCGCAGCGCCTGTTTCATGCGGACGATTCCGTCGTGCGCGCTGTGCGCCAGCTCCAGGTATCTGCAGCGGAGCTGAACGGGCACAACAACTTGTTGGGCTCCTCTCAGGATGACATCGTCGTTGCGCACCCACAACTCGTGTCTCATCTTGAAGTACGGCTGGACTTCAACCGGGCAGGCCTTGGCGCTGCTCGGCCAGCCGCGCTTGATCTGATGACGCAGCTGCTGCAGCTCAGGATCAGCAGCTGACGCGGTGCGGACGTCTTGCTCGGTCAGCACGCTCTCTTCATCTGTCAGAAGAGCGATCACCTCTTCTTCAGCGGAGCTGTCTTCATGCAGGTCCGCTTCTTCGGGGTGGCCACGGACCATTGTCAGTGAGCATATCTCGCCAGGGTCGGGCTGAGACGGTGGCGGTTCCGGGACTTCTGCGCTCCCAGTGACCGCCAGCTGATCGATTGCCCCACTCGCGGGGTGCAGGTTTACGTCCAACTGCTTCAGCAGGTCCAGTCCCATGACGGCTTCTTCACCGTCGGAATCTATGATGAAGAACTCTGTGTTGGCTCGCCGTCCACGGTAGGTCACCAGCGCTGGCAGCGTGCCAAGCACTTGAAGCTGGTGTCGACCAAAACCGAACAGACGAGCAGACGTTCTATTGAGACGACTGCCTTTGAAGAGACGTCTGGCGATGCCGAGTCCTAAAGCGGACACCGTGGCACCCGTGTCAACTTGCAGATTCACGGTCTGCGTGATACCTGGTACCTCCATCTGTACTTCGCACATCATCTTATCAGTATTTGGTACGGCGCAGCAGAGAACAGTCAGCTCGTGACACCTTCTGTCGTCGTTCCGTTCACCAGACCAGCAGACCACGGCAAAGTGACCCGTCCGCCCACACTGCCTGCACGTGGCCCCGGTAGCGGGACACCGACCGCGCTCATTGTGCTGGCGCCGACCGCAGCTGGGGCACGTGTCCGGTTGCAGCTGGGCAGGTCCGGGGCGACGGTCGGCTTGCAACTGGGCAGGGGCGGGGCGGCGGTCGTCTTGCCGCCGGGCGGGTCGCCAGGGCCGGCGCCCGCGGCGCTGACGAGCGTCAGATATCTGATGCAGTGACTGCGCTCCGTCGGCGGCGGGCCGCGCCGGCCCGGCCATGGCGGTCGCCTCGCGTCGGGATCGCTCGAATGCCTCGGCGATCTCCAGAACGCGGTCCAGGGTCAGGCCCTTATCCTGCAGAAAACGCTCGCGGAGAATCGGATGCACTGTTGCTTCCACGACTTGGTCACGTATCATTGCGTCTGTCATTTGTCCAAACGAGCAGTTTACTGCCAGGCGGCGCAGCGCCGCCACGTAGTCGGCCGTCGGCTCGTGCGACTCTTGCCGTCGCTGCCGGAAGAAGAACCGCTCCGCGATCACGTTGACCTGAGGTTCATAAAACTCGGCGAGCTGCCGCTCAGCCGCATGGAACTCGTCTTCGTCTTCTCTCCTCGGCTGGACCGGTAGGGTACGGTACACCCGTTGCGCCTCGGCGCCGACACAGTGCAGAAGGAGAGCCGTCTTCCTCTCCGTGCTGTAGGCCTCACCTCCCAGGGCAGTCAGGTAGTTGTGGAAACTGAAAATCCAGTCACTCCAGGGCAGTGCTGGTTTTCCTGGTCTCGCCAGGAACGGAGTTGGCGGCGACACCCCCTCGACGTTCATCGTCGGTAGTATTCAGGATCTCATCCTCGTCGCCAGATGTAGTGTTCACCGCCGTCTCCGGATTCCGATGTATTCTCACAAACTCGCGGTGCAAAACACTAAGGCACTGTCGTGCTGTGCGGCCGGGCGGAGCCTCTCGACTGCTGGCTCTGACTGGAGCCGAGCAGGGTGCGGCCGCCTCACACTCGTATTACCGGGGGCCCGATGCCGAGCCTTGGACACCCGATGCACTAGGTACTCGATACACTACAAGAGGTCATAGGCCAAATGTCAAAGTCCAAAGGACAGCGGATAAATGTCAGAAATCAGACCCTGACGATAATTTTGTATTGCATTGTTAGCTGTCAAAATACAGAGATATGCAACATGCATAAAGCCCATAATTTTAAAGCGAATTTCCAAATTTGTTGCGGAGGTGACATTGCGATTCTGATGATGACGACGATGATATTGAGGATAACAATCACAATCAAATTCTTCATCTACTCCACATTATTTCGCAAACTGCCTCAGGTCTGACTATCCAAACACACGGAAACTCACCATTGGAAATACGAGACCCTCATTGTAATCCGTAGCGCCGCCCATCAAGTTGACCCTCCCTGGAGCTGAGGCCATGACTGTGGGGTCGTGACCATATTTGGTACGAAATGCAGACTTGGCGTGCTCCAAAAGCACCTCCAGAGGTGGGATTTCTTCAGCCATCGTTACAGGGCAAGTAAGAAATAAATGCAGGTTTTAACTGTGAATGGGGAGGAAACGGATGAAATACAGGTAAATAGACCGAATGAAATGAATAAAAATGCAATACAAGTATCACATATCATATAAAAACATAGGTAGAGAATTGCGCTGGATTATGGGTGTTCGAGCGCTCCCAATTCCGCGCCGGCTTAGCTCATAGGAGCCGCAACAGACGAGGGAGGTCAAGGTCACCGCTAGGGCGGGGGCGGATTCGCTGCGCCTGAGCTTCATAACTCGGCACAATAATCCATCTATGTATCAAAATACAGTTTAGTAACGTATTTTCAAAGCAGAGGCTAAGGGAGCAAGCTAGCCTATAGACCACCGAAAATGAAAATTATGACAATTATAAGACCAACACAAACTTATTTTAAAAGCCAGACTTCTATGAACTCACCCTTCGACTCTCGCTCACACCACAAGTGCAGTTGTGCTCATCCAACCAGCGCGGCACTCCCTCTCATCTTTAGCCTGAGCAAAAAGGTCGAACCGCCACCAGCCCTGTCATCTCATATCTGGATTTATCAGAATCCGTTTTTATACTGGGCTACAGGTCAGGTCATTCTGTTCTACAGCATCAGGCGTGATTAGAGAAGATGAAGAGGAAAGCGAGACATTGGATTGGGGTGATGCAACCGCTTGGACTTCAATATAATTAGCATTTAAATAGCCTTTCGACCTACATTCACCTGTTCTCACCACGAAACGATATGCAGCATACCCATAAGAAAACATATCGTGGTAGGTGGAATAAAATACTGATTCATTCGCTTACCTATTCGGTATGGCTGAATAATAGGCATGCATCATTTTCCGCTTGCTACCGCTGATATTCGCGACCGCTGCAGACATACGACCTTATAAACTAACTATTCCAATTGCATTACGCACCTAAAACAAAGTTAGATGTGGCATTCTGCAATCTGCAGTCCATGAATGACCCGTGAAAAATAAAAGGCTGACGAAAGGGAAGTGCATTTATTTCCCAAGACACTCATAGGCCGGTCGCCTTGACCAATTACCGTACTTCTCAGTGCATCGTGACATTTGATTCGCTCCTAAAATCCAATAGTAGCCTCCCGTCCAGTCCCCCCTCCCTCCCCGCAGCCTACCCCTCCCCTAGCCCCGAGTCATATGACCTTGACGAGTGTCCTCCACATGGGCGAGCCTCCAGCGCGCCGGTCACGTGACCGCCAGTGGGCGGGGCTAGACGGTATCGTCGGAGGCAGGGGTGCGGGTCCCATGCGGCTGAAATTAGGTTCGATTGTGTAGTTCCGGCCAGGGCTGTGAGGGTGTGGATCGTTTCGGTGTGTTGAGGCTGACTTAGTGGAGGTGGAAGCTTTGAGAAAGGTGAGTTGGAGTGCCGACTGGCGAGTTTTTTTTAGGGTGTCATGATTTGGTAGGGGAAGTTGGGGGAACGCCGAAGACTTTTTTTCTGACGCCCGTAGCACGCAAGGTAGACAACATAAGCTATTCTTGTTGGCGTCATTCGAGAGGCCAGTCTTTTGCCTTTCAAACATACCAGGCGCATTTGATGAATTCGCATACCGTTAAATATCAAAGAAGTGACTTTTTCGGCGTTGCCCCGGACTGCGGGGAAAGCCGAAAATGGGAGAAATGATCTACGGGGAATGCCGACATTGATGTTTTGCCATTTTATCTCAAACTTTATCCAGAATTGATCAAAGCTGACACGCGTTTTAACCCGCGCTCTGCTGGGGGGGGTGTTTGAACACCCCCCCCCCCTGTGGTTTTTCGCGAATATCTCAAAAACGGCGGCGCGGAGCGCCGCCGTTTTTGGTACACCTTATCATACATCAATTCTACACACGTTGTGAAAATTTCAGACCAAGGTCATTCAAGGTCAGGTCACCAGGTCACTCGAAATGACCTCACCTCATAAAAAGTTTCAATGTCTGTCATAGCTACACCGAGTGACCGATCGCTTTAAAACTTTCAGCGATTGCTAAGAGCATTAGCATGTACAAAATGTATATCTCAGAATTTTGATATCGATGACCTAAGGTCAGGTCAATTTTGCGACCTCACCATTATAAGTCAATGGGAGAAAATTGAAATGCGCCTGTTTTGGACGAAAGACATTATAAACACTCCCAAACACTGAATTACAAGTGGTTTAGACACACTGAACATGAAAATGGTGTCTGTGACCCTTGTTTATGCCCTGAGGTCATCTTAGGTCACGAATGGTATCTAACAGTTTTTCGCAAATAACTTTTGATAGAGGCATGCTAGAGCGATGAAAACGCCTTAGATGTGTTCAGCTCGACGATACGGATCGACTGATATGCAACATGACCCTTTCCGGTCAGGTCATGACCTTGACCTGAGGTCAAATTTTCAAGTTGACCTTTCAAGGTCAAATTATAGTTCGTTCGATGCGTCTTGACGAGAGGAACACGATGCCGGTAAAAGTAAGCTCGTACAATGCTTGGGTCAAAAGTTATTGCAGAAAAACTGTTTCCGAAAAAATCGGCTATTTTTGCAGTTTTTGCCCCCTGCAGGCAAAACCGTTGACGTTAGGTCAAATCTGAGAAAATTACTCAGAAAGGGCGTTAATAGGGCTATCGAATGCGCTTTTCCGCGGCGCTGTAGCTCTATTGGTTCCCGAGGTATGCGTTGGCTTCTTGGAAATTTTCGACATTCGACCTGGAAATCGGCGAAAATTTGCCTTCAATGACCTCTGGTGACCTGACCTTTGACCTGACCAAAAAATTGACCGAAGTGATTTCGTCATTATTTTTGACGCTCTTTCGAACGCCGCCTTCCGCGTATCGCTACGTGGCCCAGGAGCCGAGTTAGAAGGGGGGGTGTTCAAACACCCCCCCCCCAGCAGGGCGTGGAAATCCAGGACCCCCAGCCGGGCGCGGGTTAAGAGCTTGAGACGCGGTGCACACTGGAAGTTATAATTGTGTGATATAATAAGAACATGCCAGGTAAATCATTCCTTATAGGTAACAGGCCGTTGTGTCGGTTGAAAGTGTAATTTGTGTGACTAAAAATACGCGTTGCTATTCTACAGCAGTAAAGTCCACGTAGCGTGCTTTCAACACGTGCGTAATCGCACGTTTTCGGCATTACCCCAGCCTGCCATACTTTCATTTGCAGGCCCATAACTTTTCAACGTGCTGTATAAATTTCAAATAGGCAGCACACTTATGCAAAGACATGCTAAAGATTGCTTGACCGAATTGGCCAGACAAACGGTAGCATAATGAGTGAGAAATGCAGCTTCAAAGGCGCATGTAGTACAAGGGAAACGTACCTTGAAAACGCTCTTGGCGCCCTCACAGTCGAAGTATTCCGAATGACGACTCTTAACAAACATGCGATAATTGTAGTCACTTAAGCTTCAGAGCATCACTGACAGGTCGCATCCATGTCTTACGGTTTTCGAAATATCTCGAATTTCGGCTTTGCCCCAACTCCGGCATTGCCCCAAATTCCCCTAAATAGTTTATGTGTAAAAGGATTCAAGCATAATCTTACAATCATACATTTTCCTATTTTATACCAGTTGGCTCATAATATATTCAACCAAACCATCACATTGTCGGTGCAATGTTTGCTGGAAATATGCCAATTTTACTTCTTACACGTTGTCAAGTGTTCACATGATAGGCCCCTGGTTCCCTTCATCAAATTGATATTGGGCCAAAGTCATTCAAACATTTGGTAACCTTCCCATTCTCGTGAACCTCGTCGCATTGCAAAAATAAACTTTTATAGGTCTACACTCTAGACTCTACACATTCCTCAACTACTATAGGAAGATCGTATTTCAGACACCCGTTGTTATTTACTAACTCGTTTACCCTTTTCTTTTCTCACGCTCTGACCTTTTACAGATCTTACAACACTCAAATCACCCTTCAACAATGGCTGAAGAAATCCCACCTCTGGAGGTGCTCTTGGAGCTCGCCAAGTCAGCTTTCCGTGGCAAATACGGACACGAAGCCACGGTGATGGCCTGTGCTCCGGGCCGGGTCAACCTGATCGGGGAGCATACCGATTACAATGAGGGACTCGTGTTTCCGATGGTGAGTTTCCAGTTTCCACGTAACGGGCTGCATGGTGTAATTATGTAATGTGTATGTTGGCTTGGTTTGGACTTAGGAATGATTGTTTGGAGCTTGTTTAGTGATATACTGAACTCCTTTGGATGGTTACGTCTGCTGGTAACAGCATACCCATTGGACTTCGTACCGGGCTTCTCAAAAAAGTTAGACGGATTTCTTTTGCGAATAGAGGACCCCTAACAACATTTAACCCGCGAGTTGCTGGGGGGGGGCGTTAAACGCCCCCACTTTTTTCGCCGGGCCATAGCATAAAAACGGCGCGCCGCAGGCGCGCCAAATTTTGGGTACCTGTAGGGAATTGGTTGAAGTTTATTGTGACAAAGTTTCAAAAAATTCGGTCGGGAAATTTTTGAGATATCGAGGTTTTAGTGACGTCATGATTTCTGAGTTTTCGACCAAAAACGGCATATGTTCAAAAAATCATATAAAATCACAGAATAGACATACAGACATGCTGTAAACGCCATTAGACTGCCAATACCATGTTCAATCAAATGGATATCTTCGATTATTGATTATTGTTCCGCATTTTCCATAATCTTGAACTGAATCTTGGCAATTTTTCGTGACTACTTCACGACCATGATACATGAATTTCTTAAATTGAACTTTTTGAGCCAAACACGTACACATATGATAAAATAAATGTCACCATCGTGTTCTACGCCCCAAATTACCTATAAAACATGTGTCACAGGCTGCGAATATCAGTTTTGATTTTCGGGGATATGTGCCTACCCGGTTGACCTGACCTTGACCCTGACCTATGCTTGACTGACCCCTACATGGAGCTGACACTCTTGTAGGCCTTATAAGATGGATTGTGCACCGTTTTGACAGAGTTTATGGCGAGAGGCGCCCATTGCGAAGTCCTGAAGTCCATGCTACTGAAAGCCCGATTTCAGGTGTTTGACCTGACCTTGACCCGACCTGTGACCTCAAAATTCAACTTTAAAGTACTCATCTGAAGCGTCTCGTCGCGTTCTTTCGTTTGCCGCCTCGTGCGTTTCGCTGCGCCTATTGGTTCTCGAGTTATCGGCTGGGGGCGTTTAACGCCCCCCCCCAGCAAACGGTGGGTGGCGAAATACCCCAGCAACTGCCGGGTTAAGTAAAATCAATGCACGTGGAAAAACGGAGAATTTTTCGTAGATTTATATGACACCATGGTTTGAGCTTAAAAAATGAAGCCGTGGTCTTAGGAAGTAAAAGCAAAACTTGTGAAATTATGCTTTCCCAGACTAAGTCGGTCGGTTCGACACCACGGAAGATCCGCAAACACTTTAGGGCAAAGAGAGCAACATCTTGAAACAAAATTTTCCACATTATTGACAAGTTTCTGGCTCGAGGAAGTGTTAACAATAGGTTCACGCAATTCAAGGAACACAGCGGCGGCCATAAACCCAATCAAAGGCTCACGGCGAACACCACTCGTGTGAGAGATGCGCTACTCAGACTGTCAATGGTCAGCGATATCGGGTGGCTCTGGCGACGTTTTGGAGGGTTCTGCAATTGCAGGATGAGCAGAGATCCGGAAACGCTTAAGATCCAATGGTTCCCCGTTCCAGCAAGACGGTGGTGCCAGGCCAATACCGCGAAAGAAAACCGTAAGGGGCTGTGGGAGCGCTTCGGGCAGCGCGTGATCTCGAGGTTCGAGACACACCCGTGGTCGGCGAATTCCTCGAACGTAACCCCACCGGACTTTTTCCTATAGGACCACCTCAAGTCCCAGGTGTACGGAAACCACCCCAAAAGGTTCCGAAGATCATAAGGATGCAGTGAAGTCAGCGGTGTGCCGTCTGCAGCTTTCCGTGGGTCGTGCTGCAGCAGAGGTCGCGCTGCGCGGGGCTAATCTGTGCATCGAGCAAAAAGGGAATCATCTCGAACATGACCTCGGCGCGGCTCAGAAAGGCGACTGCCGAGGATCGAAATCCCCTGAAACGAAATGTCTTTGATGAGGCTTTTAAATGATACCCAATTATGTTTTGTTACACTGATACACCCTTCAATACGTTAGTTATAAAATCGTCTAACTTTTTTGAGAAGCCCGGTATGAATTGCGCTGTCGATCATGAATTTTAGTTACGTCGATGCCATTATTATTTCGCAGCGAGTGTTGATAACAGCGTTTCACCGTTACAAAAGAGTCCAAGAGAACCTTTAGCATTGTCACAAAAGTAAAAACTTTAGGTTGACAATTGTTCAGATATTGACGGATCAAGGGCGAAATTCTAATGCAATCGTAAATTTCTCTTTGATCCGTCATAACTATCTGACCACTGACAGCCTGCTTGTTTTGCCTCCGCGAACAGGGTTGTATGATTTCCTTTTATGTCGATTTCAGTTGCTCAACTCTCAAATAGACAAGACTTCGATTCAGCGATGTTGACGTGCTTCCCTAGTGACTGCTTGTTCTGTGGCGTCGGCGATCATATTGATCTTTCCAATCGCTCCCGATCTTGGCCTATCTTATCAATGCGGAGTGTGCGTTGAGTTTTAACACGTAGTAATTCTCAGGGACATTGTATCTCTATGTGCGAAGTGCGAACCAAACGGCATATGTCCTTCTTACAAAGTTGATGCAAGCGGCGTTGTCTCCGATCGTTGACCTTTGACCTCTTACATCTGACCAGTGACTTATGACCTATGACCTCTGACATGTGACTTGCAGCCTCTGTCTTCTGACCTCTAACCTTTGACGTCTGACCTGTGGCCTCTCATGCCCTCAGGCGCTGCCTCTCATCTCTGACCTCTTACCTCTAACCTGTGACCTCTGATTCTTGATTGCTGACCTCTTACCTTTAGTCACTGATCGCTGACTTGTGATCTGTTTCTTCTGACCCTTGACCTCAGAGTTCAGACGCTCGCTCTAATCTCTGATCCCAGTGACCTTTCCTGTGACCTGGCACAACATATGACCTCGGCCCTGCCCTCTACATTCTGACCTTTGACGTTTAACCTCTGACCTTTCCCCTGCCCCCAGGCTCTTCCCCTGGTGACGGTGGTGGTCGGTGGCCGCTCTGACTCGGACCAGTGTCACGTGACCACCCTGGCGGCCGGGGCCGACGCGCCCCTATCGGTGACCTTTGACCTGCCGACAGAAGAGGCGCCGCTCCAGCCGGGACCCCCGGCCTGGTCCAACTACGTCAAGGGAGTTGTGGCCAACTTCAAAGGTAGGCAAATCTAAGGTGAAAATAGCATCCATGTGGTCAGAATTTAAAACCTTCAGCTCAAAAGTTTTTAGTAACCGTGTTTTAGCGACAGTAAATCGGAAACAAGCATCATCATGAAATACGTTTTTATTATACAGCAATTCATCCAAAATGTCTTCGTGGATTTTTTTGCAGGTTGCTCGACATTTGACTGTTTAATTGTAGGTACTTATCTATATCAATATTTCGTAAGCAAAGTTATTGGCAAACACTCAGCCCTTAGTGTTATCATTCGAGTACTACGTCTAATATTTACCCAATGCCTATCACCCAATCACGTGACCACACCATTTTACGCTATCATGCGACCACGTGACATTATCTTGTTGCTCTGCCCCTGACTGGCCAGCTAGCTGTTCAGTGTTCACTTTGTCAGCCGAATGGCTACTATGACAACAGGGCCCTGTTTCACCGGTGATAGCAGCACGCTGCTATCAAATTGCGCGAGCTGACGTAATGTGATGACGTCATACTGCTGACGTAAGGGGCAATTCTGGCGCACGATTGCCGCAATATTGTTTTACGTCATCAGCTAAATGTTCGAAGTTTATGTCCAAATTTTTCCTAAACCCAACTTCTTTTAAATACATTATATTTAAAAAAAATATATCAAAAATATATTTACTATCATGACTGCGTAAACTCTTACTTTTAGGCTCATACGTCACTTAATGCCGCCGCCAAGGTCGCGGCAATCGTGCGCCGGAACTACCCATTACGACAACAGTATGGCGTCACGACATGACGTCAGCTCGCGAAACGTGATAGCAGCTTGCTGCTATCACCGGTGAAACAGGGCCCAGAGCTGATCAAACAAGCGACTTGGCTGGCGGCCAACTGTGCCTCGGCCGCACCACGTGTTGGTCCTGGGGCGGGGCTGAGTGGGAGGGGGTGAAGGGGAGGGGAGGAGAGGTCTGATTGTGCGATGCCCGGCTTCTGTAAAATGTAGGTGCCGATGTTTTTCGATATTGTGGACAGGTGTATTCGAGAACAATGTGCGATTAATTACGTTATGGATACCACAATTGTCCTCATTATCGAACATTAACGATAAACATTGCGTTTTCGACCTGATGAGGCCATTATTGAGGTTTTATTTGTTTGTTTCTATGCTCGTTTTTTTCACTTAATTCCGTAGCGCTTTGCCGCAAGCATAAGAAATGGCGAATAGCGTCATCCCTTATGTCTCTAACTTGTCTCTTATAAGTTGATTTACTGAGTCGAACCAACCTGCTAGTTCAATGTATTAAATATGGAATTATTGTACTGGGACATTATAAGTATTTAGGAACCAATTCTTCGACACCAGTAATGCGTATATTGATTCGGTAGCTTCCGGAATCTTCTGCTCCCTTCGTCTTCGTCAGCAGAAGATTCCGGAAGCTACCGAATCAATATACGCATTATTACTGGTGTCGAAGAATTGGTTCCTAAATAGTTCAATGCACTTTGCATGAAATGTTGAGCGTGGCATGACATTGTCTGACACAGTTCTAGATTTTTGTTATTCTAATAGCATAGCATCCATCTCGACAATGGGATTCTGCTGAAATCGGGTTCTGTCCGCTCAGATTTTGGCTCTGTAGAGGCTAAGCTGTGCTTTATCGTGGCTTGAAATTGTCACATCAGCGATTGAGTAGCCAGAATTGTAAGGCTTTTAAATCGAATTGATTGATTACTAGTGCGTTTGAGATTGATGTTATTGCGTCGAATGGTTTCGGTCCGTTGAAGCTAATGACACATAAACGCTAACATGAAGTCTCACTGATTGTCTTGCCTGACATTGTCCGTGTCAGGAACTATTGTCAGGCAACTGATCAGATAGTGAAGCATGTTTTGTTTCCACTTATATTGGTTCTTAGAAATTAAGTGTAATGCAGAAACATATTCCATACCTTGGCAGTGGGCAATCGACCTGCAAATATTTGCAAGCTGCACTATGTTAATCGCGTTTTCTCATAACTACCCAGTTGACTATATTTCAAGACATTTTTCTCACATTTACCTTACAGCCGTTGGCATCCGAACTTCGAAGTTTTGTTGTACCGTCCCCTCAATCGATTGGATACTCTCTTTTTCAGGCGGCGTGGTGCCTTTCGAAGCGGTGCTGGCCTCGACCGTTCCTCTGGGAGCGGGTCTCTCCAGTTCTGCCTCTCTAGAGGTGGCCATGTATACCTTCCTCGAGGCACTCACTGGACGAAAGGCAGAAAGGTGAGAACTGATAATTTACAGATCCGAAAAGGCGGCATGAAAACAGGAAGGCGAGTTGGCTTCATAAGGGTTTGTTGATAATCTGACAACAATGCGATTGGTGACTTGAAATGAGCCTGTTTGCGTATCGCCTAATCGACCACCACTGCCGAAGTACCTAAATATGATAGTTTTGGTATTTACGTAATAATAACGATTCCTGATGTCTTTCTGTTTACTACTTTTGTTGAAAATGAACAGGATCTGATCAGAGCTGAGTTGGATCTAAATAAATGGACTAGCGCTTATTTCATTGTCAATGGCATGCTTTACTTGACCACTCTTTTACGATAATAAGTCCCTTCTTCAGCATAGCATGTCTATCTAATGTCGTTTTTCTTACGTCTTTTCTCCTTTGTCAGCCTACGCGAAAAGGCGCTGCAGTGTCAGAAGGCGGAGCACGAGTTTCCCGGAATGCCCTGCGGCATTATGGACCAGTTCATTTCGGCCATGGGTCGAAAGGACAACGCCCTCCTCATTGACTGCAGGTGAACTGGTGTGGATTTTGGGATGGTGCGTGTTGTATCGTTTGCTGTTGTTTTTATAATAAGTCGTCGCCACTTGTGTGCTTCACAAAAATCACGTGGTTTATTGCAAAGCCAATTTGTTAATTCACGTCAATCCAACAGTAGAAAAAATGCGGGTCAAGAGACGCACTGACCAGAAAGGGGACCTCGATGGGGAGCATGAAGCTGCAGCAGTCAGCACAAACTCTTTACAAGTGGTAAAGGCTATTAAAACGACAACTTTAAGAAGTCTCTCAAAGTTCGTGTTCTCTCACATTCAACAGTCCTACGATGTACGATCGATCGAGCATTCCATAGACTGGGCCAATAGCGATGCGTTTTCTAGCACAGGCCCTGTTGCCTACAGGTCTCTGGAGTCAACTCTAGTTCCACTGGCCGACCACCAGGTGGCAGTGCTGATCACCAACTCCAATGTTCGACACACACTGACTGGATCAGAGTACCCCAGCCGACGGCGAGCCTGCTTCGAAACGGCACAAGTCCTCGGAGTCAAATCGCTGCGAGAAGCGACCATGGAACTGCTAAAAGGTGAGCACAATATCATGATACAGTTGCTGCCTCAGTTGTTGATACATTTGTTGATACAGTTGCCGCCTGTAGGTGTACCTATGCCTCGATGTGCAGAGGTGTCGATCGAATTGGTGCCTATTGACGTGCACGAAAATTACAAAACACACTTTTTACAATACGAAGTTTTTAGCAGCAAGTACTCTAGTCATGCCTGTATTGACTCATAACCTGTCGATGTCATGTTCCCAGCACGTCCGGAAGGCTTTCAGATAAAAGGAAAAACTGCGTTATTGACACCGCTGAACGATGGTAAAACTTGGTGCTGTTTCCAGCCGACCTAAAGCCCGGGTAGTGAGTGCTTGATTAGCTTACGGGTGTTTATCTATTGACACTTTGGTCTCTTTCTCATGATTGCTTCTGTCCTATTCCAGAGCGGCAAGGTGACATTTCCGAAGAAGACTACCGTCGCGCTCGTCACGTGATCACTGAGATAGCCCGGACAGAGGCGGCTGCTGAGGCCTTCAAAAAGGGCGACTACGTCACAGCGGGGAAACTGATGAACGAAAGTCACGCATCGCTCAGGTGCGGGCATTTGTATTGTGCACTGGGACTGGGACTTCATCCTCCTTTCTTTTATGTATTGCAGGAATTATTTCGACTTGTGAATCCGATGATTTCTAGGTATCGACTGTCGTTGCTGTAATATCTCCCATACCCCACCCCCTGACCCACCACTCCGTATTCCAGGGAGAATTTGAGACACCGTGTCTATAAAAGGTCACGCGCGTATTACAGGGACTATTTCGAGGCATCGTCTCTATATTTTTCTCTTGCATATTTCAGGAACGACTTCGAAGTATTGATTCTGTAATATCTCTCAGGGCATATTCCATGGACGATTTCGAGGTGTTGTATAGTACTAACTCCTGCACGTAGACGTAGAGTCCACCTCCACGGATGATTTTGAGGTGTCGTTCCTTACCTCTCTCATTTTCTAGGGACGACTACGAGGTGTCGTGCGCGGAGCTGGACCATCTGCAGAGGCTCGCCGCCGAAGTGGAGGGGGTGTTCGGATCCCGGATGACCGGAGGGGGGTTCGGAGGGTGCACCGTCACGCTGGTACGTGACTCGTGAGATGCATTTGTGTAGTTGACCTTAGGAAGCCATGAGATGAACAGTTGCGCTCTTGAAAGTACCGCGCATTAGTGCCGTGTATCCATCAAGCCCGACCGAAGAAGGACTGCTAATTTTTACAGTCACCGAACCAGATGACATCCTCATCTCTCCCCCAGGTCAATTGGTTTTAGTGACTCTCAAATTTAGAAGCCCTTCCTCGGTCGGGGTTGATTGATCCATGCCGCACCGCGGAAGCGCGGTACTTTCAAGAGAGGCTGGACACTATTATGAGGTCACTGTTCAGTTTTACGCCGCTTGACGCTTCAGTTTGCCAACTCAGTAGGCGGAACTATGGTCAAGCGTACCCATTTTCGGGAACGCATTTTCGTTCCCATGTTTGGGAACGATAAACCCAAATATGGGAACGCCATGTAGGCATTATTTAAAACAAGAAAAAGAACCGTTAAATGACGTCCAAAAAATATAAAACGATCGTGAACCGCCTGATATTTGTCTCAATATTGTTGGGAAAGAGTTTGGTATTGTAAGGCCCATCGTAGTTTCAAATCGTTCCCCTATTTCTAAAGCAGTCCATCATCCGGGCCGCGAGCCCAAATTTGGGAACGCTCTCGTACACTGGCGCTGCAAGCGTTCCTTATTATGGGAACGGCGTACCCAAAATTGGGAACGATTTCACCGACGCCTTTCAGAGGCTCTTTTCATTAATAAGCATCACGTCCAACACCGCAAATTATTGTTAACGCAACAATCATCAGATGACCTTTCCGGCAAGACCGTCACATGTTTCGCCCGGTCTTCTGCCCTTTTATTCCCGTCGATCTCGCAGCGGGCACGCCCCCCTCTGCAGGATTACGTAATTCACAAGCTCAGCAATGTTCAACAAGGTCTTCCATGCCTATATCCACCGTCCGCGCCGAGGGTGGAGACATGTCAAGCACCTGTCTGTTTATCACCGATAGTTGACGAGTACAAGGAAGTATCCAAAAATGGGAACGCTGAATATGTTACACCCTCAAAACACCTAAAGTTCGTTTTTTCTAAGTTCGACCCTCACTGTAAACATCTTTTTGAACTCAGCACGAGAATTGCTCGCTGAATTACTCAGAAAACTGATCGGCGCACATTGCCTTGGAAATATGAATAATATTTTCAAAACAGGTTTTGAACACCGATGACGTACCGTTATGTTACACGCCTTGAGAATTATTAATTAGTTCAGTTATTATTCCTGACAAGTCCTCTATCCCTGTGGGGTTGTAAATATGGGGAAGTCCGAGCTGGGAGTCTGGGAAATAGGAGCCAGGTAGAAATAATTTTGATAAAGTTGATCGTCTGTAAAATCAATGTGCGGCACTTGGTTTTCTCAGTAATTCAGCTAGCAAATCTCGTGCTGTGTTCAAAGAGACGTTTACAGTGAGGGTCGAACTTAGAAAAAACGAACTATAGCATCCAAATAAAATATGTCTTTCCGGGCTGATAAAATACAGCTGAATAATTTTCGACCACTTAAACTGAGTTTACAACAGTAGTTCGGTAAAATCACGCACGTTCTACGCGGTCGTCCGCCCCGACACCAAATGTCAACAATATTACCTCGGGACTGTCCGCGTGTTCGCTTGCATATGTCAGCATGGTGTCGCTAGTATGAAACTTCATAACCAGGCGAAAATTATTATACTTGACCTCAAAATGTAAAAAACGCTTCATTTTCCTTAAAATTGCATGTTACATACATAGTATAACCCATGTTTTCACCATCCCGTCATTTAAAAAAATCATTAAAAATATCATTCGACGGTCAATTTCCTTGTTCAACGGTCAGATTAAAGATAATTTTATGGAGACTTAGTAGATACTTAAATTAGCGTGCACTTTTTTGAGACGTGATGCACTAATGAGTTTTAGTGGGCGAACGGCCGAAAAATTACCTTCCGTTCTCATAAATGGGAACGCCCGTTCCCATATTTGGGAACTCCGTTCCCAAAAATGGGAACGTTCCTATATTTGGGACGGGTACTCATGACCATAGTTCCACCTACTGAACTGAATCAATAGGGATGAATTTGTTGTCATTAATGTCAGCCGTCTTTCTGTCATGTGTTTTTATTGTATCACATAAGTTCCGCTGTCTCTGACTCCATATCATTGTTTTTTTTTTCAGCTCAAAGAAACTGCTGTGGACGCGTGCATTGAGAAGCTGAAGAGTGAGTACGCCGGCAGTGCCACTTTTTACGTTTGCCGTCCGGCTGATGGCGCTATCGTCATCTCAGCCTAATAGAGGTGTCGCTGCTGTCTTAGTATAGATGTTGCTGCAGTATAGCTCATTAGAACTATGTAGCGGGATTATTAACCTTCGCCCCAGTGGGGGGGGGGGGGGGGGGGCATATGTTACCAGTTACCACCCTGTCGCATTTTTTGCGTGTGAATAAAAAACCGCGGCGCGTAGCTCCGTGCCGCTTGGGGTAGCTTTTGGTACATCAATTTTGGACAATGTGTGAAATTTTTGACCCCAGGTCATGTCAGATCAGATCACCAGGTCAAGTTAACTGACCAAGCCTAAAAAAGTTTGCAATCATGTCCAGCCTGCAGTGTTTGTCAGAAAGGTTTTAAACTTGATGGATTGCATGCTGTTATGGGCGCCTACAATTTGTATATCTCGGATATTTTATATCCGTGACCTAAGGTCAGGTCAGTGCCGTGACTTTTCCATTACAAGTCAATGGAGAAAAATGAACATGCCTCTAGATCCGTGTGTACGCATCGGAACAGTCCAAATATTTCAGAATCACAATGATTTAGTCCACTCGTGATGACCAAGGTGTCATTTTTGCTGATAGCCTCTAGACAGGTCATCCGAGGTCACTTGAGGCTACAAACAGTTTTTTGCCAATAACTCGCGATTGGAAAGAGATAGAACGCTGAAGATGGTCTCATTGTGTTTGTCTTGTTGAGACGCATCGACTGATATGCAACATGACCTTTTCCTGTAAGGTCATGACCTTGACCTGAAGTCAAATTTTCAAGTTGACCTTTCAAGGTCAAATTATAGTTCATTCGACGCGTCTTGGCGAGGGGAACACGATTCTGGCAATAGAAATGTCGTGGCTTTTTGTAGTCGAAAGTTATTGTCGAAAAACACTTTTCGTAAAAACAGCTATTTTTGGAGTTTTTGCCCTCTGGAGGCTAAACCGTTGACCTGGAGGTCAATATTGATAATGACCTTTTTGACCTTTTCAAAAGAAGAGTTCAAAAGCTATCGTTTGCTGTTCCATGCGTTTTTCTAGCTACCATAGTTCCTGAGATAGTGGCATGTTTTCTGAAAAATATAATGACAATTGGCAAATTTTGACCTTTGATGACCTCTGGTGACCCCAATATTGCTCGAAGGTGAAAAATGACCGAAATAATTTCAAACGTACGCATTGAGAGCTATCGACTGCTTTTTACCGCGTCTTTCTAGCCCTGTTAGTTTTTGAGTTAGAGGTGGGTGGTAACATATGCCCCCCCCCCCCCACTAGGGCGAAGTTGGCTGAGACTGCCACTGGGGCAGTGGCGGATCCAGGGGGGGGGGCAAAATGGGCATTTGCCCCCCCCCAAACGGCATGATTTTAACATTACGCCTATGGACGATGCATGGAAAGAATCGATAAATTTTTATGGTTTGCCCCCCCCCCCAAACCTCTGAGCTGGATCCGCCTCTGCACTGGGGCGCGGGTTAAATGCAGTGCTGCTGAATATAGGTGTGCGTGGTAGGTTTGCTACACATTAATTTGTGCCAGTATTTTGTGGAAATGTGTGCTCTGCCATTGAAGTATTTGTCAAATATGAGATATTGTATTTTTAGTGCACGCACACTGCACGGTAGCAGTGTAAGTTTGTTGGATATTTTCTGACCTACGACCAGTGTTATCCCAACACTTACAAAGTCATGACAGTTTCAGTATTTGTAGTGGGCTAGTCACATTGAAATTACGAGCAGCTAGTCATTGTTTCAAGTGTGCATTGCATTGAACGTTGTCCGTTTCAAAGCAGCGAATGTTTTGATTGGTGATACAATCATCGCCATTCTTGTGATCGGTTGAATGGTGCAAATATTGCTAGAGTGATGTGCCGAATAAATGGACAATGATCCACGATAAAAAAACGAGATTGGTCCATGTGTCAACTATGAAATCCGGTGAACGAGAGCCAGAAAAGTCGAGGCGATACGCAGCAGTCGAGCGAGCTGTCAAGTGATTGGGGGAAAAATAAGGGAAGGCGCGGCATCCATTCATGACGGATGTTTAGTGAGCCGTCTACGTCTAGAACTGCTAGATATTGTCAAAACAGTTGCACAGTGCACACCTTATACGCAGTAGGCAAAACTCAATATAGATACTTCTGAGACCCACACTGAAGGTAGGTAGGCAGGTAAAAGGGCTAAGGTAGGTAACTGAATGCCTTTTCATGGACCATGTTAACCCCTGGCATAGCTAGAAACGTCAAATATTGCCGTTACCTGTGTCTTGCTATTAGTTTTTTTTTTATTATATTGCATACACGCTCTCAAGGTTGTCCATTTGATCTTCTCTCTTTTTGTATCTGGTAACTTAGACGCCTCTCATTCCTTTTCGTCAGCGCCCAACAGTCGTCCGTACTTCGAGTACATCGGAAGCGTATAAATACTAAATACAGTCACTATACAGTGTGTTACTGTCATGCGTTGCATCGCAGTCTTCGAGCAGTCTGAGCACATGTTCCTTCACCTTGAAAGTTGTACTAACTTCTAATTACAGTATGTATTGTATAGCATGTATAACCTTTCTCGTAACGCGTTTTCCTTTGATACGACCCCTCATCGAATAATGCACCTTTCATTATTCGTTATATTTTATGCATTGAATGTATAAAAATGAAAGCATAACATGAGTGAAAAGCCTCAACTATGAAATCATAGGAAGCAATTCAAGCTTCAAGTCGAACTCCGCCAGTCCCTACCCTAGCGCTCAGAAGTCAGAGCCGTATAGAACTATTCACTGTTTTGATCAGGACTGCGCGGAGTCGATGGGTTTTGGTGATTCCGATTCCTACTCCGACTCCGGCTTCAAAAATTGACTCCGACTCCGACACCGACCCCGCGCAAAACTGCCAACTTCGACCGACTCCGACTCTGATTCCGACTTCGACTCCGCAGCCCTGGTTTTGATGTGCTGGTTTTGATGTCCCCATACCTACCCGCCCTCACTCACGAAGGGCGGGGCCGTCATGCACTGTCATAACATTCCCCGCCGGCCTGTCATGTATCGTATCCACAACTCGACTACTCGAATCGTCCCGCCCAGCGCAACCCAAACTCAGCCAAGCTCAGCACTTGGTCAGCGAGCTACCGGATCCAGGCTGGACCGCCCGGCCCAGGCACACCTGCGCAAAGCAGCTGCGCAGTGGTCCCTCCCTCCTCCTCCCCCTCCCCGTCGTCGCCGCCGCCGCTGCTGCCGCGCAGCCGTTGGCAGGCAACCAGTGTTTGGAGGCGTTTGGAGCGGTGGGGTGGTGCAGGGACGCGAGGGGTTCTGTGGTGACACGTGAGTGAGGAGAGGACAGAGAGCAGAGGAAAGGACAGAGAGAGCAGGAGAGAGGAGAGAGCGGTTCAAAAGGTGAGTTGGAAATTGTCATCTGGGTTGTCAAGTGGTGTCTGTTTTGGCTGTTACGATAGCCCATGAAATGGCTGAGAGTTGTTCGATCAACTTTTGGTTACGTCAGTGAACGGAGTTGATCGCAAGATGACAAGTTTGATGCATAAGTAGCTGTTCCATGTTTGATATAGGTAATCATTTTGGAAATCGTGTTTTGCCCGTGGATGTCCCTGACCCCCTGCTTTGATTTTTTTTTGCATTTATATTTGTCATCATTGGCTCTTGGTGCTTTTATGTTGAAGATAGCATTCTCAATCATCTGCCGACAAATACACAAACCTAAAATGCCCATGCCGTAATTATGTTAATTTCCGTATGCTTACTCAAAGCTTCGTGACAGTTCTTGTTTTGCAACAGCGCTGCAGGTCTGCTATCTCTGAAAGCACCTCATGGAAACTGTGATTTGAACAGGATCCACATGGGAACTCCCTCAGAGACAAGCGTGGATACAAACTTTTTTCCCTAGCACTGATTGCAGATATGAAATTCTGCCATTTTGTAACGATTATCTTGGACAGATAACGTTAGGTACCGTAAACCGGGGTGAGTTGATATGGATTTTGAGGTTATTCTAGATTTCGTTAAAAGCCACATTCATTTACGGAATTCTTTTTGTGCCAGTTTCATGGCACATGCCTTGGGGAGGCAATCAGCAAAAATGAATAAAAAATGTATATATTAAGCCCCTTTTTTAAAACGCCAAAGTTCATATCAACTCACCACCCCACAGGGGGTGAGTTGATATGATTTTGGATTTTTCAAAATTTCTCGGCTAAAGAAGCTCAGAGGTGAGTTGATAAAATACCAGTGTTTAAAAAAAGGATGAGAGAACACATCCTGAAAGAAACCATTAGAAAAATGCTAGTAGTTTGGCAGCAGACCTCACATTCATGAAAACGCAATCATGTCCAACACAGCGCGATCAAAATGGCTTGATTTTAGCAGCATCATTTTTTCGCTTTATGATACTTAGTTTTACTTAGAACATTCTGAACTTGGCTAGTCACGTGTCCTCAAGCCAACGGTATCAAAACTGGCAATATATTTTGGAATTACAAGTGTATTTTCTTGTAATTAAAACACATTGTCAGTTGCGGGTCAAGGTTGATATGCCTCTGACAGAAACAATGGATTGAAATGAAAGAATACATATACTTCTGAGCTTTTGTTGACTGGTAGTCAACAAAATATTAATGAAGTGAAGTGAAGCGAATCTAATTCGGACTGTATTCTAAGCGACATAAAACAGAATTCGGCATCAAAAGCCAAAATTAACCCTCGCACTTATAGGCGGGCGAACGGACCACCTCGGCTTTTCGCACATAACTCGTGCAAAAAGCGGCCGATCACGACGAAACTTTCAGTACCTCTCGAGTTTATCAATTTTACACATGTTCTAAAGATTTCATGACTCTGACTCAAATGGTTTTTGACTTGTGACCTGATTCTCGAGACCATGCTTGGCCGGAATCGCGATTTGGCGTAGTCGGCTCACATTATCCGCGCATTTCCAGTCTTTTTGTGATTGTAACGTCCAAACATGTAAATGATGTTGGTCCCACGCAGTATTTTGGGTGTCAACTGTCAAGGTCACCTGAAGGTCAGGTCAGGTCATTGACCTTTGGTGACCTCGGTTCACTTTTTGGAGTTTTACATGTTTCTAGGGTAGTTTTTTTCGGGCCGATTTCGAATTTAACATGCATTTGATCATTTATGAAGTAGTTTTAGTGCCTTCGTAACATGTTACGACACCGTCAGTGGTAGCTGACACTTGACACTCCCTATGGATAGCCGGCAGGACACCTACTGGTTGACCTGACCTGACCTGACCTGGCCTAAATGTACGAAGACATCTGTGAGCATAACTAACATGACATTCGCGATCAGCAACAGCCAAAAAATAATAAACTCGCTTTACGAACTTCAAATAATCCCCTATTTTCCCGACTTCTGGGTAATTGACCTGGCCTGGAAGGTGAACCAATGACCAAGTTGGTTATCATCGGCTTCCTCGCGTCTCGGGCAACACGCTCATTTTTTCCGCGAAGCTCTAGCTCCACCAGGGGCCAAACGACGATGGGATTCCAACGGACCCCCCCCCCATACGTTAAACGATGGCAAAACACGAATACGGGCGAGGGCCAAACACCAGTCAATTTCTTTATATTGTTTGTTCCATTTCATTTTGCCTCTCATTCTCGGTTGGCAACTGCCAAGCAGGAAAACTAATCAGTTTCACGAGATCAGAATTCCCGCGCTGTTAGCCATACAGAAATGACAGTTCTGTCATTTTCGAAACTACGAATAAATATAACAGTTTTTTTTTAATCTGTATGTAATATAGGTGTTCCATAGTGTTCCTTTGTAGCTTGTAGGGAGCCATCTTGAGACTTGACAGGGAGCTGTGCTGTGCCTTTTGCATGTTAGGTATGTCCACAGAAAAAAAAAACTTTGGGGTTACTGATGTTAGTTGTCGGACCTTCGTCCCCGTCTTGAGTTGAGATTCAGTTTCATAACGTTTCGGCCAGTTACTCTCCGGCCGTCGTCACTCGTCAGGTGTTCTTTGACCCTCAAGGACCTGGATGTTGGTGGCGTTGCGCCGTACGCGTCAAACAGTTCGAAAGCTCCTGTAGTCAGCGGGAATCGAACTCGGGTTTCCCCGGTGATGGTCCACGGTTGTAACCACTCCACTATCGAGGCAGGCTTGACTACGGCCGGAGAAGCTACTGGCTGAAACGTTGTGAAACTAACATCTCAACTCAAGACGGGGACGAAAGTCCGACAACTGACATCAGTGATACTAACAGGCCTCGTCTCAAGCATTCAGAAAAAAACTAAAGCTTTTGGGGTTGATGGAATGATGTGGGGAAAGAAAAGGAGAAGAGTTGGTCTAATTGACTTTGTCTTACCTGCAGACCCATATTTCATGCTAATTTGCATGCCTACCAGCCTGGTATCAGCTTTTATCATGCATATCAACTCACCACCTGATGGCATATCAACTCACCACCTGTCACTTTTCTTAAAATTATAAAAAAGCGTTGTTATAGGTGAAACCCAAAACTACCTGGGATCAACAGTAAATTGATGGTAGTTTCTTTCCCAGTGCATGTTGTTTCATGAATATCCACCGTCTTTGCTCTAGGGTGGGGACTTTTCCTTAGTTTCAAAATCAGAAGAAAAAAAGGACTTTGAAAAAAGTAATGTGTTAAGAAGGCACTGCACCACATGCATGCCTTTCTCAGCTATATGCATCACTTATTGGTTGCTTCACTTCACAGAAAAATAAAACTAAAAATTGGTTTACAAATGGATGAGCAGCACACATTTTAACATTTTTCGAGCAATTTATATCAACTCACCACCCCATATCAACTCACCCCGGTTTACGGTATTCGTTTAATAATAACGCGATATGTAGCAATGCGTAAGAAATAGCCAATGCATGATTATTGCTTACACAGATGCA